CAAATTGGAGATGGGATTTTTTTCTCCCCTACTTGTTTGACCTTGCCACAGAAATATGATGTGAAGAATATGTGCACAAGATGATTTTGGTCATTCTGATTAGCCCAAGCATTTTAACTCCTTCACGTTCCTCAGACTGTTATATGAAAGATTTCTTGGTAATAATGGTGTAATGTCTTTTTCCCTGAACAGTATGTGAAATCTTAGGAAAATCTGGTGTCTCACTAGTTCCTTATTGAAGGAAAAACTTCATATGTGTAAAGTGATTCCTAGTCGATTCAAAGGCTTTTCACACTGCAAAATAATCATCCCAATGAATCAATATGTAAGGGTGTCAGCAAAAAAAAAAAGCAGTTAGAAAATCAATTTAAGTGGCATTTTGAAGTCACCAAGGCCCTACTGACATTTGCTTGGACAGAATCATGATTTCTAGATGTGCTTCACTTGTGTATGCACTAAAAGCCTGCTACATTTGTCACCCTCTCCAGTCTAGAATGGATGGTCCATAGCATTTCAGTCCCAAAACTATTATTAAAAAATGCTGGAGGAACTTAAGAGGAGGTGCTTTGACTTGAGAGACAGCATCATTTGATTCGAAAAGAGAGCAGCCCTCTGATGGAAAGCATGCTCTATCTTTTATGAGAAGCCAAAAGTATTATATGGACAATATGTACCTGCTAATAAAATGAAACTTTTTCCTTTTTCTGGGTTTTTTTTTTTATTTGGTAGACTTAGTTCTCCAATTTATAAAACAAAGAAACTTTGAATACTAGTATGGAACTTAGCCTGTAAACTAGTGATCAGAGGCTTGGCCTGGATAAAGGTTTGGAGGACAAATAAGTACCCAAATCTCTGGACATTCCATCTGGATCCCTTACTCTATAAAATTAGGAGAAAATGTCACAGAGACAACTTTCTTGTTCTGTTCCTGAACTTCTTCTGGTATTCTTCACAGCCAGAATTTAGAAGTACTGAAGACTAAAGAAATGGAAATTAAGGTACAAAAATGATTAAAAAAATATAACATTTTAGGCTTGCCAGAAAAAAAACAGTTCAAGGAATATTTTAAAATCCAGTTTATACTTCTGCATGGGATAGCTGTTATTTCCTATTCTGTGTATTTTCATTTTCTATTATTATTATTATTAAACACCAAGGATTTTTAGCTAACAGAGACCAAAGACATGTCAATTCCGTTTAGTCCCTGATTCATTCAATATATGGGATTCTGCAGCTTGGCACAGAATCAAGTTTCCCCACAAAATTTCATCTTACTTACCAGAAAGTTAGCCTAGAAATTATTCTCCTCTTTTTTGTGTCTTTGTTAAGTGAATGCTAAAAAAGTCTGGCTTGAATTTCAAGGATTGTAAATCAGTTGTATGATGTTTATAAAGAATTCAATTGCCTCTCAATGGGCGCGTCTACATGAGATGCTATATCGCCCTAGCGACAAACTACAAAGACACAGCATCAGCATGCATGAACTATGATGCCAACGTTGCTGCGCAGTAGGGTTGGAAATGACCCATGTGCTGCTGGGACTGTGCAGTACTGACGAGTACTAGTACTAATTGACTGTGCAGTATGAACTGCACAGTCAGGGGCACATGTAGATGTGTCCAGTATGCAGAAAATGGGTAGGTATTTTCTTGAATCTGATCTTAAAACATACATTTTCCCCTTTTTAGTTGAAAATAAATTTTCAATCAAGGTCTAGCTTCCAGGGAGAACTTAAAATTTTAGGAGGTCAACTTCGATAAACAGGTCTTCTGTTTATCAAACTTTTTGATAATTATGATGTTTTTGGAGCCTGAAATCTAAAGATAAGCTTCTCACTGTTGAAATTTATTGTTAATTGAGTTTGATTTTTCAGTCTTAATTAATTGATTAACATTAATGGAGCCATCTGCTGTTCCAATACATGGAGAAAACAACAGTAAGAATAATTGCTGTGAGAATAATTTGAGACATTGGAAACACACTTGTTTGTGGGAGCAATTAACTTTCACCTTGTACTCAGCACTATGAAACTAAGCTTGTGCATGTTTACATTTTCATGAGTTCTTATGCAATCTAAAATAAATGTATTAATCAAGAAATATTGGTTGACTAGTATTGACTAGTCAACTAGTGTCATTACTGACACAGACACAAAATTTACTGGTATAATAATTTTTTAGATATTTTCCAAACATATATCTTTTTGTTTAATTATTGCCAAACCCAGTTTGTAGCATCTGGACAATGGCAATGGGGGCATATAAACCATTATGAGCTTTATATTTTAATCTTTCTTGCTATGCTTTTTAGGAAGCTTCTCTGCTATTAACTTAAGGAGAATTATTTCCTCAAAATGAACTGTACAGCTACACTGCTTTTCAAACCTAAATTCACTTAATACAGTTATTTTGCTGTTTCTCTAAAAATGAGTAGTCTTAGGGGTTTCATCTTTTAATACAGATTTACAGTGTAATAAAAGATGCAGAAACATGGGATGCAGCTAGGAAAAGCAGAATATATATTTGGAAGTATACCTGAATTGTTTTAAATTACAACACAAACTCAAAACACCACTGAAATAAAGGAAAATAATTAAGAATTAGGGATTATGTCATCATGTTTTAGCTATAGAAGTCCTGGGTTTTATTCTATTTAAATCTACATTTAATATTTTTATCTGAAAGTAACAAAAGCACCATTCAGTGCCTAATTCCATGGTGTGGTCCATCAAATAGCTTCACAAAGACCAAGATATTGTATTTTGATTTGTGTAAATTCAAAGGGTTTCTGAAGTTATTGAGTGTACTTGCACTTTATATAGATACAACTGACTACAACTGACCAACTAATTTCTTACATGTCCAAATGTAGGTTGATACATTATAAACTATTAAAAATGGATTTTAAATTTTGCCTAATTAAGACCATAATTATTTAACAACAAGGCATGGCAGGAAAGAAAACAGGTGGCAGGTCCAGAGGCAGATGCTAGACTAGCACTGTGGCTGGTCGGGGAGTTCCCAGTTTGCCACAGTCATCTGGTTCATGTGTATTACCCAGTAACCTGCACTCTTGTTCAGGAGCAGAGAGCCAGGTCTAAATGGTAAATGTATGGGGGCTGGCATACTACAAGCATACAGTACTCTTCCAGGTGGAGTCCTGAGGCTGAATCTCTGTACCTATTACAGGATAATTAGTCTTGCTGGATGGCAGGGTGTAACAGGGTCCTACCCCAGGGGTAGCCTAGAGTCCCCACTCATCCCTTGTCCTCTCTGCTTCCTTTGGTCAATCTTCCCTTCAGCTCTTCTGCCATGCCTTGATGGTATTATGTCTTTAGAAAAGGAGGCTGCCCCAGGGCTTCCCAAGCAAGATCTCACTCATGAGAGCTGGTGTCACACCTCATCATGTTAAAGGCTAATCAGGGCCTCCAAAACTCTCCTATAGCCATGCCCATGCCTGACAGGTGCTACCAACTTACACTTAAGAGGGGAATTTTATCCACAAGCCACTGTCTGACCACTTCAGGTCTTAACTCACTTGTTAACACCTTGGCCTTCCCAGCCTTTGCCCCTTTCCTTGAGCCGGACCCTTGCTGCCTAGGCCCACCACACTGGGACAGGGTCCTGAGCCACAGCCCCTTATCTTGCCCTCTGGGGCCTTTATCTCTGCCCTGCTTAGGCCCTTGGCCAGGCTCAAGGCAATCACCTGCCCCTAAGACACTAATGTGACCTCCAAGATACCCCTTTCTAGTCCCACCCAAACCACTGGTGCATAACTCTAATCCCAAAATTAAGCCCTCTGACTATAACATAAACCTAACCTGCTCCAGGCATAGCAAATTGCAAGAATATCCCACTGCCTTGCAGCAAGGCTTCCCTTTACCTGGGGTTCTATTCTTTCATAAAGTACCAGCATTCAGCTGGCAGTTCTTAGAGCACCTCTGATGTCAGCCCAGCATCCCTTGCAGTCTTTCTGGCTAGGAGCTCTTCATTTAGTGGCTTGCAGGGCTAAACTTCCTGGCTTGGCTCAGCTTCAGTTTTATATGCTATCTCTAGGCATAGCACATTGACAGTCCCTCTGCACAGCTCCTTTCCCTTCAGCTTCCAGACCCAGACTGTTTACTTTACATTCTTGCTGGGAATTACATGCCCAGAGCTGTGCCCCTTTCCAGTCAGGTGACTCCATGAGCATCCTGCAGGTGCTCTCTAGCGTGATTTGTTTACCAGCCTGCAGGCTGGCCTATAGCAAGCAGAGTTAGTCTGCAGTTGTCCAAACCATTGGGTTGAACTAGATGACACCTGGAGGTCCCTTCCAACCCTACTTCTCTATGATTCTAAGATCAATAGAGCTGTAACAGTGTGAAGCAGATTCTTGATTCATTCACAGTCATCAGGATTTTTAGCTAAATTTTGTTTTCGGAGCTACAGATTTTCAGTTAAACTCTTTAAACTAAAATGAAGTATTGCTATTTTACAAAAGCAGAGGTCCTGGCCTAATCTCTTTATTACTGCTAGTGAAGATACACCTGGATAAATTCACATTAATTGCAACTCCCAAAATGAAATTTCTAGGCTGGCACTTAGAAAGTACATATTACTTTAACTCTAAACTGAGCATATTCCACATATACCCACTAAGAGAGAGAGAAGAGAAAGGGGAGTAAGTTTTAATAACTCTCGTCTGACCATATAGTATAAGAAGCAGAAAAAACATTTTTCTTAAAGCAGAGACTTTTTAATCAATTAATATTGAGCTGCATTTGAGCTGAAGAACCAGTTTTCACATCTATTTTCAGTAGACTGAGGCTGTAATTACCATTTCTCATTTGAGCAAATGGGACATAAATGCCTCTGAAACTCCTACATTTTTAAATCAGCGCAGCAGAGATAAAAGACAAATAAAAGTTCCAGATATTAGTTGTTTATTACACTGAGGACAACAATGGCAGGGATGAAATGCTAAGCTATGTTGTGTTAGTGAGTGATCAAAAAACGACCTACCTTTTGCAGGAACCACCATTACGGCATGGATGATAATCACATATAGGAACATTGCAGTTTTCAATGTTCTTCCCACTTAAGGCCTCATCTATGATGAATAACTCTTTATTGTTAACTTGAAAATCCTTTATGCAGCCTCTGTAGCCATGAATCCTCCCTGCACACTGATGAACCTCAGCCTGAGCAGGAACACTTCCAAGGAATGTGGACCCAAAGGTGCTCTGTCGAATCCCAAAAGAAACATCAGCAAAATGCTTATTACATACTGTTTTCTAACTATGCATGATGCATCTATAATCAATGAAGCAATACTAATGATAATAATAATAAAAAGCAAATACTCTTAGCAAATAGCCACTAACCTGTCTGAAAAAAAAAGCAAACCAGTAACAAAAAACGGATTCTAGTTCATGGGAAGTTTTTACCAAATATGGTATTGGTCCAAAAGGAACAGTAACCAAAATTTCTCAAATTTTTCCTATCAACTAGAAGCTCTTTGGGCTTTTCAGTGGCTATGGGAAACTGACAACTTTGTCAATGTTATTGTTAAAAGATGAGAACATTAATTTCACAATTTCACTGAGCAGCCACCAGGGGTTCTCCATACCTCAACCTGGAACAGACCTACCAGACACATTTGGCATTGGGGCTGGGCCCATGGTTTCCTGTTTTACAGCAGAACCACCTGTAGACTGCCTCAGGGCTGGAACCTGGAGTTTCCAGTATCCCCAGCTCCAAGTAGTCCATGGAAATCCACCAAACCTCTGAAGGGGTTCTAACATAATTCTGCCATAGATACAGTTAAAAGTCCATCAAACCTGCAGTATTCCAAATGAAATATTTGTGGCTTAACCAGTCAAGCATTTTCCATTGAAACATTGTTTCATCAGAAACTTTTTAACTACCTTGACTACTAACCTGACTAATGATATTAAAAGGAACTAACTTGACTAACTTGCATTATAGTAACTAGAGTTTGTTGGGTGCATCTACACGAGATGCTTACTGCACATTAGCCTAATACCACTGTACAGTAGCGTGGAACTTAAAAACCATGCTAATGGCCTACTGTGCAATGATATTAGGCTAATGTGCAGTAAGCGTCAAAAAATAACTGTGCACCAGCACTACTACACAATAACTCTCATTACTGTGCATTTAGGTAGTACTTCTTTAAATATGTACTAAACTAAATGCGAAGTAAATTAAGGTGCATTAATGAATGTGTAGACATGCCCCTTGAGATGTTGTGTCTATATTTATTTTCTGCTGTGGGTGTGCAAAAGCTCCATATGTTGAAGACTGGAGACTTCATGGTGATCAGTACTTCTATGACATACATGTGCCCTACTACTCCTTGTGCTTCATATTAAGGGCAGAAGGGGCAGAGAAAATGTACTGTCTCAGTTTCTTAACCATGGAATTCCAGAAATGCAAGACTTTGCAGAAGAAGGGGGGTTCTGAATTTGCTCATGGACAACACATCTCAAAGAACTCCAGTTACTGAAAGTCAGTCACTTCTTTTTCTCCAAGTGATTGACTTCACATATATTCCACTGTGGATGAATCCACAATAGTAACAAGTTCACTCAAGGTAGGATGTCAAAGTCTCAGAGTACCAGTGACTGGAGCCCCATTTTATTGAATACTGTGTTAGATCTGGAAATTTTTTAAATTGCCCATTGCCTCGTGAATGGCAGAACAGACCTCCAGATCACTACTTTACAGATGTTTGAGATTAATATAGTTTTCAGTGATGCTGACAGTGATACCTGTGCTCGCAAAGACTAAGTTCTAATAGCCACAGACAGGTTCACTTTGGATATTTGGCAGGATACTCCTAACTCAATCTGTAATCCAAATGCAGTGCTTCACATACTTTAAGGACTGTCACATACTTTATCGTTTTCGCTAGAACCAAAATAATCCAAGATTTGACCTGATTGGTTTTGACCTTTGTGAATAAAAGGCCATGTCTCACAGCTGGGATGTGAAGCAATGCCTCCATTTTGAATTTGTGAGGGAAAAATATAGGAAGGTGGATTTGTTGTTCGTGGTAGAACTCTTATGACCATCTTCAACAGAAAACTGACATGTATCTTTAAAGGTATACTGTCCAAATGGAAAACTCTGTGTGTATAGGGAGGGTGGTCTACAATTGGGATTTATATCTTTTCCATCCATTTGGCTGGAGTTAATAAGAAAGCTGTCTTCACAGATCAGGATGAACACTACTGTTGGTTTAAATGGACTCATGAGCTCCAAAAGGACAAAGCAGAGATCCCACAGTAGGTCTGAAACTTATTTTCCAAGAACTTCAGCAGAGTTGAAAAAGAAAAAAACATAATCTTCTACAGGTATGTGATGTGTTGAGAGAGTTGCTTGGTACTAAGCCATAGTTAGGGATAAATTACTATATCAAGAGTTTAGGATGCATAGGTTGTTGGGTGTTAGTGTTGCACATGGTAGTGGGTATTTTGTACTGCATTGGAGAGCATTTCCCCACAGAGAAGGAAACTAATGGAACTGAGGCCCAGGAAATTAAAAAAATGTCTTTTTACAGTGCTAGAAACATCAATTCTTGGGCCGGTGATGCACAGCTGGGTTACTGGAACTGCATTGTACATGAGCTGCATCAGGAGTCATTAGGGTGCACAGTTACGTGCAGGGAGAAACCCTGTTCAAAATGAGCATGTAGTGGGACGTGGGTTGAAGGGCCACATCAGGGTGGGACCCAGGTGCTGCACTCTCGATGGGTGTTTTGTTCCTTTATCTCTGTATCCCATCTACCATGACTTGATGTTAATCAAAAAGATATCAGGAGGTGGCTCCTGACTAGTGGGGTATGTTGAGATAGGCACAGGTCTCAGCATCCAGGCATCTTTTGTGGGGCTCTGCCCCCCCCCCCAACCCACTTGGGTGTTCCAGTGATGGTATTAGGGTAGGTGCCTTGTCCCCTAGGCACCTGCCTTCATGTAATGGAAGAAAGGTCTGACTTGGAAAGAAAAACAGAATTATTTAGGAGTGACATAGATTCATAGATGTTCTGGTTGGAAGGGACCTCAGTAGGTCATCGAGTCTGATCCCCAGCCCTAGGCAGGAAAGAGCGCTGTGGTTAGATGACCCCAGCCAGGTACATGTCTAGCCTCCTCTTAAAGACCCTAAAGGTAGCACCACCTCCCTTGCACTTCCCAAGGAGGGCACCACCTCCCTTGGAAGCCCATTCCAGATTCTGGCAACCCTTACCGTAAAGAAGCATTTCCTTATGTCTAACCTAAATCTTCTCTCTGTCAGCTTGTGGTCATTGTTCCTAGCTATTCCAAGGGGTGCTCTGGTAAACAGAGCATCTCCTATTCCTTGCTGCTCCCCTGCCTATCCGATGAATTTGTAGGCGGCCACAAGATCACGTCTCAGCCTTCACTTGCAGAAGCTGAAGAGATCCAGGTCCCTCAATCTCTCCTTTAGGGCTTTGCCTGCAGGTCTCTAACCATGTGAATGGCCCTCCTCTGAACCCTCTCGAGGTTGTCCACATCCCTCTTGAATTACGGTGCCCAAAACTGGACGCAGTACTTCAACTGTGGCTTGACCAATGCTGAGCCCTGTTACTTTGGTGTGTATCTCCTGCCAGTGACCTCTGTACTGCATTGGAATTAATAATGTAGCACAACCTAAATAAGTGTGTCAATCATCTGTTCACAAGCCCAGCTTTACAGTATATGTCTGCCTTCCCCTCAGGTAGCTAAGGTTCTTCGGGGTTTGCCCTCCAGTTGCAAGCCTGATTCACAGGGTGAGCCTGTATTGGGCCAACCCCTGTGGATAATATGTGGCCATGGGCACTATGGATGCTTATATATGTGGTCTGGGAGGCATGGTCTGCTTTAATTAGCACAGGTCCGAGAGACGTGCTAATTAAAAGTACCCGAAGCATCATGTATATCAGTGTCCCTGTGCTGAAGAATGGCAGTGGGGCACTTTGAGCTAAAGCTCATCAAACAAGCTTTAGTTTAAAGTGCTCCACTGCCATTTTTCAGCATGGGAACACTGATACACGTGATGTTGAGAGCTGCTGGAGTGGATTAATTTCCATGCTGATGGGCTGGAATACAGCATGTTACAGCAGGTTCCCTGCATGTGTATAGGAGCCCTTGCAGGTACCTGGAATCTAGTGTCCACAGGGCAGTCAGGTTCCTGTCTTGGGAGTCAGAGTCAGGCTGATCTCTGATTAGACATCCTAGGCTCCAGTGGAGGGAAGCAGCATGACCCATTGCCTATGCCAGTGCTTTCCCTCTCCTGGTGCTGGTGCTGCCCTATAAGGGAAGTTCCAGGTTGACCTGAGCCAACCTGGACCCCTGCATACCCCCACATGCCTTGTGACCACTGTCAGGTGCTGAGAACCACTGTGGGGCTTATCATTGGCTGCAGCTGCAGTTTCATGGCTCTAGGCAGTGTCAGGCATGACATTTACTTGCTCGTGGCCCCATCCAGGCTCAAGATCCAGGATCAGCTTCCTGCTTTTAGCCCCACCTGGGGGACAGGTGCACTAGGGGTGCATCTCTCACCACTTCCCTGCTCTGCCCAGGGCACGAGCATGTGGGGAAGGTGTGCTCCTGCCTCCAGGCTCAACGCCTGCCTCCAGGACATCTCAGGATGCCAGAGACCATGAAGCACCTGGTGATTGTTGCCCCAGTGAGCGCAGGGCTGGGTCTGTGCTGCAGAGCTCTTCATGAATGATTGCTTTTCACCACCCGAGGATGCATTTTTTTGGTACATTTTGGGTGAAACTGAAGATCTGGGAAAAAGGAAACCCATATTTTGTTCTTAGGTTCCCAGGAAGCATGTCCATATCTATGTCTGATGCTGGCTACATGGACTTGTGCAGCAGTTTCATAGTTTCATAGTTTCTAGGGTTGGAAGGGACCTGGGCAGATCATCTAGTCCGACCCCCTGCCATGGCAGGAAAGAGTACTGGGGGTCAAACGACCCCAGCAAGATGGTCATCTAACCTCCTCTTAAAACCCCCCAGGGTGGGAGCCTGCACCACCTCACCTGGAAGCAGTTGTAGCTTTAGCATGCTTCTCTGTAGTTTTGGGGTTCTGAAAGTAAAGGTTTTATAGATGGAACATTTTCTTGGGATACAGAATTCTTTTGGGCAGCAAAGGCATTTAGGAGGAAAAAGGACCTTCTGGGTAATTTTAGTTGGTGTAATTCTCTCAAATTGGGA